TGCCAAATTAGACTACCTTCCCAGAAAGCAGAAGCCACCCCGGTCAGTTAGAAACCACGAGATCAAGTCTGAAAACACGAGTACAATTGACCTCTCGGAGTCTACGAGACCTCGACTCGGTGGCGGAAACTCACATGTTTTTATTTTCAACAGGAATATCGAAACGCCTGTCAATGTTTCGAAATTCGCCTACGCGAATAAGCTCAACTCAAACAAATCATCGGCAAAGCTATACAGTCGACAGCAAAACAAATCAAGACAAGAAAAACAGGGGGGCATGCTTCCTAGCGGGGAGTATTTTGTGGGGAAAGAAGGAGGGGGAGGCGATTTGGTGCCCTACAAGTTTGTGTCGCGACCTGTTCTGAAGGCGTACCCTGGCAAGGATCCGGGTAATTTGAAAGTGACAACTAATTCAAGATCTGCAACAACAATGTCGGTAAGGCTATGAAGAATTATTTCTATTTTTACCATTTGAAAGGCTATGAAAAATATAAGACTATAAAAAATATTCATGTCTTATGTGATAAAATGAGTTGTAAAAAGATGGAACAGACAAAAATAACTTTAAAAAAACTAGCTCATGACTTGCATATGTGGTGCTTCAGATCAGTTGTTGAACGCGAAAGAGTTCCCTAAAAATATATAAAAACAACGATATGTAACGAAACCGTTGATTTAAACTGGGACCTTTCATCAGGGTTTCCTATTTCAGATTTTTAGCCAACTTTAAAGTTATTTTTTTGTGTTATTTTTCACCACATTGGTCATATTTCTATAACTGCTATGTTTCATCAGATTTTTAAGGACTTTAGAAAAGTCGTCAGTTTAAAGCGGCGTTTTTCCATTTTTTGAAAAAGACATTCACTTACTGAAAAAAAACTTTTAAATAAATAAAATTGTCAAATTTCTGAAACTGAAAATCAAAAGTTTTTAAAAAAGTCAAATTGGCACCCGCTTAGAGCACCCTTGCAGCCTTACAATATGTGGTTGACAATTTCAAACTTTGTTAAATTTTGCTTACACCTAACAATTTTTTTTTTGAATTAAAAAAAAAAAATAAGAAACGTCATATCTCGGAAAACAAAACAGTTTGAGCAGTAATCAATGGGGGGCCAGATTTGCAACCCTTGAGATTTTTCTGAAACGAATTTACCATAGAATAGTGAATTTCAAGTTCTGTTAAACTCGCTCAAATCTAAGATTTTGAAAAATACTGAAAATAAAAAAAAACTGTCATATCTCAAAAACCCAAAGAACTTGAACTATTAAATGTAAAAGGCAGAATCAAAGCACCAAAACGTACCCTGAGAGCAAACTATCATAGGACCATGAAAAATATCAACTTTTGCTAGTTTTTCAAATAAAAGTTCTTGAAAAAAAAATAAAAAATCATTAAAAAGCCATATCTCTAAAACTAAAAAGAAAGATCAGTAATAAAATGGAGTCCAGTTTTGCAAACTTTGAGTGTACACTGAGCGGTCCCACCACAGGGCTGAGATTTTCAAGTTCTGTTTTTTTTTCAAAATTGAGTTTTATGGAATAAAACAGCCTATCTCAAAAGTCATGCTGATTTCTGCAGTCACATTAGGAGAGCAGAATTGCAATTCCGTAGTGTACTCTGAGAGCACCGTATCACGGGGTAGAGATTTTCAATTTCTGCAAATGTTTTCAAATCAAAAATTTTGAAAAAAAAATAATTTAAAACTAATGAAAAGTTTCCACATCTTGGAAACCAAAGAATTATAACAGTATTAAAATTAGGTCAAACATGCTACCCATGAGTGTACCCTGCTAGCACACGATTATAAGGTTGAAACTTTCAGTTTTGTCAAATAAAGATTGAACCAAAAACTTTGAGAATTTGTATAAATGCAAAATAAGGCAAAATCTGTGCAGTTATTGAGTTCAAGCTCCAACAGATAGTTGAACTAATAGATGACCTTGACACTTTAAAACGTTGAATTCAATAAAAGCATATTGAACTTTGCAAAACGTTTTCATTTTACTAAACATGTCAACAGGAGGACTTCTTAATAATGTGTCAAATGAAACGTCATTTAAATATTGTATATAAATAGTTAGATTGAAGATGAATACATATGTTCTGATCATGTTTTGCATGCGTGAATTTTAGAGCGACCTTGACACATCCTTTTTGTCTTTAAAAATAAGCGTTTGCGTTGGTCTGGTCAACTGCTCTTTTCAATTTATCGGGTTGTTCCAAGTTCTTACTACCTATTTTGACAGCGAAGTCTAATTTCTTTCAATTAGACTTCTATTAGTTTTTTTAGATACTCAGTCGTGTTCGTATATTAAAAAATTGTTCAACTCTATAGAAACACCGCCCTGTTTATAACCAATTTTTCTTTGCTGTGTCACCAATAGGTGCTTCGCTTTTCCGAAATATTACGCCCTGTGTCACTCAAAAGCTTCTCTTTTGCTCTATTTTGGCCAGCAAACCTGAACAAGGTTTCATACTTTCGCATCTGCGCTAAATTTGATGGTATGCTTTGTTTTTGAAGTTTTTAAGGAGAACTCAAAATAAGTTAGGTCAATTAAACTATCTGTCGGAGATTTTTTTCGGAAATTTTTAAGAAAACAGCAGCTCGCCTCACGAGTGTTCAAGAGATTCATCGGTTTTTAGTCTACACATTTTTGTCTTTGATGAAAAGGTGTTGAACAAAATCACATTTACTTTTGTTTAGTTTTTGTAGTTTCATCGCATTCCGCGATAAGTGTAAAGCGGCTCAAGACAGGAGGATTTTTAAAATAAAAATCAATCCGAAATACACGAGAGATTTACAATATTGTAAGAACACAAGTTTTCAAAATAAGTACCGTTAAACTGGCATTTAATTTTGTTGATTTACAAGTACAAACAAGACTGCTTGTATAAGGGCAAAGCCCTGAATGTTCCGACTGCCTTTTAAGGTTTATGGAGCAGTAATAAAATTTAAAAAATTAAATGAAATAACGAAATGAAAATTTTTTTTTCTAAAATTTGAAATTTTTAAGGAAAATCATCCCCCCACACGCCATATTAAGTACAAAATGATAGAATTCGCTCCTTGTAACAAATCAATTATGGGAAATAAGCTTCTTTCAACCAATTTGGAACGATTTCTTAGAGGATTAACTCTCCGCTTACGCGTTAATAGCTCGAAATATATCGCTCGTTAATTGTCCCAAATTGGCCAAAATGGCAGTCTTTAAACCCCCGTAACTTTACGAAAAATGATCACAGGTAAAATATCTTTTCAAATTTCAGCTCAAGACAACAATACCTTTCGAATGATATAAAATAATTCCGTCAAAAATGGCTAGTTAAAAAGTCGAAATTTGTTTGAAAAAAAAAACCCACCCGAGCACAAATATTCCGTTACTTTCGTATCGAAAATCGGAACAAAAAGTCCATTTGAAAATGTTTAATCAGACATTATCCTTTCTTTTGCCTACCACCAGCATTTTTACCAAAATGACTCCTGGTTTTCTTTATCCATAGTTTTCGTCGTTTATGGTTAGTTCAATTTAAATCACAGTTTATTCATGAGACAGGATAAAATTGTCGGCAGTATCTATTCATTCAACTAATCTGATCGAAGCTGACTAACCTTAAGCGTCGAACTCTTTTTTTTACTGATTTCTACACGTACAAACGGTTTCCGAAATACTAATTAATCTAAAATGCCATATTTTTTGACCAATTAAACTGCCCAAGGTCACAGATAATTATTTTGACTTGAATTATACAAAGCAATTTAATTTGTTTTATTTGAAAAATGCTCGCAATTTTTTCTAATGAAGAAGATTAAATCAAAGTCCTTTCAATTTAATTTTATTTACATTTCGATTTGTAACTAAATGATTTATAAGCATAATTGAAGCACCCAAACTCAAATAAGGTCATGTAGCAACAAGTCAAACAAACTGGCGCGTACCGACTTAGCAGCATTCTCGAGTAGCCTGCTACAAGTCAAACAAACTGGCCTGTACCGACTTAGCAGCATTCTCGAGGGGGATGGTTCTCATGCTCGAAGGACCGAATGCTTGAAAAGTTTCAACCAATCAAAATCGCTAAGCGTTTCTATTGGCTGAATGCCTTTCTCACAAAATCGAAGTCAATATTAACAGAAAATGTATTACATCAGTGGAAAATGATCCAAAATATTACAAATTGCGGGTTACAACCGCATTACTATTCAGATAATCAAGATTAATGAGTTCAAAATAATAAGAATTTTTCAGTCTTGAAAACTTATCTACTTATTATCTAATCGGTGAATAATAACACTAATGGCCTGGATTTACTTTCTTACTTTGAGATTTTTGTGATTGATTTTGAGATTTTGAATGCTCAATTTTGATTGGCTGAAAGCAAGCTAAAATTAATTTCAAGCATTCGGTCCTTCAAGCATGAGGGACGCCACCATTCTCGAGTAGCCTGTTACAATTCAAACAAACTGGCGCGTACCGACTTAGCAGCATTCTCGAAAACTTGCAAACTTGCAAAATAACTTGACTAAAAAGCAAATGCAACACAAAATTTGGACCACTTGTATTCAAACGATTAAACTATCTTATTTGGTTTTGAAACTAAGCTAACAAAAAATCCGATAAATTTAATTTAAAACATTTTCTATGCGTAATAGAAACGATTTCATAGAATTATATGACAACAAAACTGGGACTACTTTGATACCCAGTATTTTGTCGGCTATCCGGGAACAATTGTTTTTTAGCTAGTCAGGGATACTTATTTTGGACTATCCAATACTAAGTTTTTATTTTTCTTTGGCTATCCAGGAACAAAAAATTTTTGGCTATCCAGTCAATAACCAAATGATATCAGTATAAAGTAAACGTCTTGAGATAGACGCGGGGAGCAAGAGCCAAAACATCGGCTGCTAATTTTTGTTTCAAATTTTTGCCTTTGTCACAGAAAGTGTTGATAAAAAAACATCTTTACACCGTTTTGGAATAAATTAGGCTAGTCGATCCCAAATAAAATCGATAGAATTTACGACTTATCTAAAGCAATATTTTTCTCCATCATATAATTTTTTTATTCTGAGGGTCTGCAATTAAATTACTTGGGGTGTGGGCTATAATGGGAAAAATTGTTTTTCAATATATATGATAAATTAATTCAAAATTTTCAGCCACATGTTTTTGGCGTTGAGCGAGTCGAAATTTTTGGCTACCTGGAAACAAAAAAATTTCGCTTATCCGGAAAACAATCGTTTTTTTTTCAGCTATCGAGGTATTCGGCTCCGTAACACGCCACCAACAAATTGTTCTCAGAACTTATTGGTTGTAAAACACCATTCTCCAGAGAATATGCGTGGCAAAATTTATTTGAGATTGTGATTCAAAATAATTTGCTACTCAAATAATTTTCACGAGCTAAAGTATGTTAAGAGCATGGTACAACTGACTCAAAATAAAATAAAAATATTATGCATTATAGTTCTCAAGTTTAATATTTGCACTTCTCTAAAATTTGTAGCCAAGAAAGAGCATTTGGTGAAAAAAATGACCTCTACATATACAGAACTTTTCCATCCTCGGCCCTTATTTTTATTTGAATTGCGGGGGGTGGGGGGGGGGGGGTTGGGGAGCAATAACCTTGGGAAAGTTATTTCAGCAAAAACCTTCAATTAGCGTCAATGTTGGTTCGTTCGTTAACCACACTGTCAAAGAAAAAACTTATTCGAGATTTGAAATGGACAAGTATCTTCTGATGGATCCAGGGCTGTATTTAGGGTGGAACGGTCAAGCCCTTCGCATCTTTCGTTATATTTCACGAGAATTGGTTTGACCCACCAATCTTAAAATTTACCTGAAACCCCCTTGACCTCAACGTATACTTGATTAAGAGGGAAACGCTTTCAAGAGTCAAAATTTCCAAAAAATAATTTAAACTTGAAATTTTTCGTCCACTTTCTCAAAAACTAGTTCGTGACGAGACACTTCTGTTCAAGTGACGACTTTTTAGGTTTTGCGAAGACAATGAAAAAAAAGGCGCGAAGTTTTCAAAGTTTGTTTGAAATTCCACCTGTATCTCTCGCGAAATCAGATGGAACCTTTTTTTTTTGTTTCAGAGTTCCGACTTTTTTGAGCTAGCCCCAAAAGACCAACCCATCGAGTTGGACCTCTCGGCAGACCAAACGCAACAATCCATCTACCAAAATCCGAGATCATCCCGAATCGGAATGGCGTCATCATACCCACAAGGGCCGAACAGTTTCAACTCGGCGAATGTGTTACCGGCCGAGAACTCAAGTCGTGTTTCGTACCCACTGTCTCGACATAGCTACACGACTCCACAGCCACCGTTTGTGAACAGATTTAAAATCAGGAAGGAGAAAGAACCCGTCACCCAGATTATGACTCAACCAACCCCGGGTCATGATTACAATTTATCCCCCATCCCCCCGTCGAACTCGGCCGTCCCCCCTCACGAGAACGAGAACGATACTCAAGAGGGGTATGGGAAAGAGTTTGCATCGGCAAACGTTGCAAGTCACCTCGAATAATAAAAAACAACGTTCATCAACTCGTTCATCGGCCTGCGAAAATGAAAAAAAAAAGTTTATGATAAAACGAGAAACTTTGAAAATCCAGAATAAAACTTCTCTATAAGCTTGCATTTGTGGTATGAATATTTTTTCTAAATACTCTTAACAAAGATAGTTTCGAAAATATAAATTTAAGTTTTTATTTATTGATTTAGTTGTTGGCTGCTGCAAATAGAATCTTAATTTTCTCATTTACTAATCACAAAATTTGTTAATTTAGATTTCAAATTATTGTTTCTGCATCAAAGAAAGCGTGTGATTGTTTTATTTGCGGTTTTCCGACAGGCTTGATGTTTAGTTGCATATTGATCTACTGGCATAAAAATGCATGAAAAAATACTTGTTTAAAAAAACTGACAAATGGTGCCAGCAAACGTCAACGACCTTTTTCCATATTTGTATATTTTGGCTTTTGAAATTATCATTAATAAAAACGAGTTGAACGATCATTTTTTCGTTAATTATACAAATTTCCACCACACGTGAACTAAAGAGAGTGTGGCACCAAATCTTTGGTATTTTTTTCATTTATCAATCAATGAAAAACCAGTGCTAATTCTGTTTTAGTTTTTATGAGTTTTAAAAAACAATGTTCCATCGAAATCAAGGACAACAAATTATCATCACAATAGAACAAGCAATATTAGATCCCTTCTAGTCTTTAGTGGAACGAGATTTAAATTTTTTCTTTATATTTTCTTGGTGTAGAGAAAAACTGGTTTTCAACATGTTCATTTTGTCTGATTTTGAGCGAGTGAGGTGTTATAATAAGACAAAAAGCTCATTTTTAAGAATTCACAAGCGTATTTTTCTGAAACAAAGCTAAAATTTGAAACTGCGAGTAGTGCTTCCTTGTAATTCAAAGATGAGTAAAAAAAAATGCTGAGAAAAATTCAGAAAAAAAGCAATTGAAATTCTTCGGATATTTTTTAAAAAATTTTCTTGAAAATAACTGCACAGGATATGCCAAATTTCGGTACAAGCTAGCCTTGTTTGCTATTTTTTGCTAGTCTAATTTGAACTTATTTTATTATAATACATAAATTTCATCTAAATCAAAAATAATTTGCATAAAATAGTTTTTCAAATGTTTTCGACGTTTAAAAGTTTTGAGAAGCTCAAAAACTTTTTTGTTATTTTTTTTCGAAATCAAATTTAAAAATTATATCCCAGAACTGTTATCAGAATTATTATGATTTTTTTTGTCAGGTGGAGTGTTAAAATAACATTACAACATTTTTTTAAGGGTCAATCAATTACAAAATCATTTTTTTTCACATAAAAAGTTTACAATTTAAACAAAAATTTAGTCGAACGTAAAAATGTTAGTCCTACTTATCAAAACTAGCTTTTGAACCTGCATCTAGTTCATTCTTCCCAAAACCAATTTGCAAAAAATCTACAAATTATTATGCAAAAAATTGGGAAAAAAGATTGTGCCATTTTTTTTTTGAAGTTTTAAGTTTTAGTATCGTTGTTCTGATTGCACCGCGCCCAAAAAACGTCAAAAATTTTGTGCTACTTGCACAGCAACCAGCTGCTGTTCTTTTTTTATTAGTTTTTCTCCACGCAAAATCAGTAAAAGTTGAATAAAGTTAAAAGTTAAAAATCTGTGAATTGGTTGACCGGTATTTCACAGTAAAAGTTTTTTTGGTCGTGATTCGACTGTCCTAAAGTGTTTCATCGAAATTTCTTCAGATTTGAGAAAATTCGATTTTTTTGCTTTTTTTTTTAATTTTTCAACTTTTTCAAACAAATTTACTTTGCGAAACCAAGAATCACAAAAAAACTTTAAAATGTATCCTGTGATAATCAAGAACCACTTAAACTAGAAGTTTTTCCAAATAATAACGATTAGCAAATTAAAGGACCGCAAAACGGAAAGTCTTTCAAGCCACCATGCAGTAGAAGTCTGGATTTTTTATTACAGGCAGTGAGTCAGTCCAATGAAAACTAAAAATTTCAGTCGAAAGTGATTATTAGTCTATCAATGATCATGACCAATTTGAGAAGCTAAACCAAAATTGTCAACTACTTTCTCCAACTGGGCGTTGCCCACCAATAAATATTAACTTTATCCGCAGTGAGAAAGAAATAGGACTGATTTTAATCTAAATTCAATATAGTTCGATCAGTCGGAATTCAATAATTTTTTTAAATCCAACTAAAATGATCGGTTTTGAAAACTTGAGGTCATTTTTAGTACCTGAAAATGATTTGAATTGATTAGGAACGGAATTGACAGGTACAAAAAGTCATTAGTGTCTCATTAAAACTTATTAAAATTAAATCCAATTAAAATGATTTAAAATTTTTAATTAAATTGATTTAAATCCAGTTAAAAAGATTTAAAAATTTAAATCCAATTAAATTGATCTATCCTGAAAACCTGATTCTATCCTGAAAATAATTTGATGCGATTAGGAGCGGAATTGATAGGTACTAAAAACAATCCGTGTCACACCAAAAATGATTAAATTCAGTCAGAGCCTTTATAATAACCTTTTCTTTATTTTTTTGAAGAGTCTCAGCAGACAAAAATTACGGTCTTAATATGATTTTCAAACATGTAAGCCAATCTTTTTTGCAGATTATTTCCAAAAAGCATGCTCTCTGACGGGCGAAGCAATTAACGATTTTTTCGTTTCCGTTTTAAAAAATGTACACATGCCAAGAAGAAAACTCAAAATTTTGCTTGGCAAGGCGTTGGATACTTAAATTTGTGCGGAACTTTATTCAAAAAAATTGCTCAAACTATCTTAAAAATTATTTAAAAAAATTTTCCGAAAAAAAAAGAAAAATGAAAAAAACCAAAACAGTTTTTAAATCTTTTAATCCATAAATTTAATATGATAATTGCGAAAAAAGTTCATATCAACAAAAATTGATTAAAAAAATGATGGTATTTTGATAATAAAAACTGCAAAATTTGATTTTAAAACAATTTAAATTGGTTCAAAATGCACAATAAAGCTTATAAATTGATGCTAATTGATAACAAAGATAGCCGGTTGCTGTGCAAGGAGCACAGAACATTTCAAAAATTTTTCAACAAAATCATTAGTTTTTTTTTGTATAGTAAAATCTAGTTTGTGTGAGCCTAATAGTCTAAAAAAGTAAAGTTTCCTAGAACGAACGTTACTTGTTCGCGTTATTCCTTCAAAATGAGACGAAAATCAAAAAATTCCTCGAAACTGGGAATTTTTGGAAACCATTTAAGGCTGCTCAAATTACAGCTGAAGGAACTTTAATTTGATATATCACTCGAATCCAGTCCAATGATTATTTTTGGTATTTAATTCTGCGTGGGAAAAGTAAAGAAAAAACTAAAATACACCCAAATACAATGTTCCTAACTATTTTCAATGGTCGGAACAAAAAAGTTATAGTGACTGAACTTGATTTAAGTTTTTTCGCAAATCATATCATCGTTTTAAAATTAGATCGATTCGAATTGCAAACCTATTGATGATTGAAACAATAACAGTTATAGAAAATTTACAATTACAATTTTTCGTCACCATAGAAACTTACCATAGCTTCTTACGAAATTTAAACCTGATTTCCGGTGAAAAAAGAAAAAAAAATTGACTTTTGAGTTTTTAAATTTACTGCATTCAAATGTAAAGTGACTGCCCACTGAGTATAAAAATATTGCAGTTTATTTTAAATTAAACCTGGAAAAACAAATGATAAAACGAAAAAAATCTTAGAAATGGGAATTTTTCAATCTTTTACCTAATGGAAAAAAAATCAAATACGAAAATTTTGAACCTCAATTTATCAAGTCAACGGAATCAATTTTGTTGTGCCTGAATCAATTATTTGAAAAAACGTTATCTGAAAACTTTATAATTTCAGAAATAAATTTTAGAAGATTAAATTGACAGAAAAAAAACATTAACTGTTAAATACCCATAAAATTTCAAAGGCTACTGTTACGCCTCAGTAGTGTTTTGAAGATTTTTAAGAGCAATGTCAGTAACTCAAATCATGCAAATCAAGCTCATTCAGATTCATGCAGTGCCTGGGAATTTGATTCATAGTTTTTGTTGTAGGACAAGAGATGAGTGTTGATCATAAGTTAAATACGTGTATAGTGCAAGTTTAATTCTGGAGCTTAACAATTTGTTAAACAGACATTATGAACTAAATAATTCATGAAAAGGTGGTGGTGGATATCAAAAATTCTAAAATAATATTTTTCTACCACTATAGAAAACTCATTTTTGTTACTTCCTAAGAAGTTTTTAAACCATTGAGTTGGTTTTAAGTCAATGAATTGGTTGAAAAGTTATCCCTCTCAGAGAAGTATATTCTTCAGAGAAATATAGTTTAGCGAATTCTGGTAGGATGTTAATGTTTTATTTTCGAGCTATTATAACTCATTATGTCCGAGGATTAGACTATGTGACGCTTGAGTGTATTGGTGAATGACAAGGAGACGGGTCTGATCCAGACAGTTAACTTAGAAACCAACTATGAGAGGCAGTACAGCAAACAAGGCAGAAGGAAGGCACCCAATTAGAAGAAAATTATTAGCCGAATATTGAATCACTATATATTACAGCAGTTGGTCTTAATTTCATTCGATTTGAAGGCAAGCAAGTTGTGAAAGAATTATACGCTCACCGATTAACTCGTTCAGTTACACGCCAAAATGCTTCATTTTGTTTGTTTTGCTCGTTTTTAAGTTCTTTGTTTATATCAGACCCGTCACCTTGTCATTTGCCGGTGTTTTTTTTTGTGTTGACTTTAAAATTGCTAACTTTATTTTTTTTCTCAAATTTCATAATTTTGTCAATTCTTTTCTTTTTATAGTTTCTCTGCTAGTCACTAGCCAAAATTTAGCCAAACATTCTACCAGAATTCGCTAAGCAATTTTTTTCTGAAGATTATATTTCTCTGAGAGTGATAAGTTTTGATGCTTACAATCAAGTCATAAAAGCAATATAGGTAAATTTCAGAAATTATACATCTTTTTTTCAAAAATTATATTGAGTAGAATTCATGATTGCAAACGATTCTTTCTCTAAGTATTAAGAAAGTGTTTTTGAAACTAGCTAATCTAATTTTATTTAAATACTTGAAGAAAATTCAAAAACGGTAATTTCAAATTTATAATCGAAATGCATTTACTATACGTCACGGGAAAAAATGTCATATAGTTAGAGAATGCAAGTTTAGGAAAGCATGCATTTTGAGCAGCGTTTCAACATAGTTCAGAATACATGAAGAATTTTATAAAGCTGGTTTTGATAATATCACACGTTTCAAACATCCGCTAGATCCAACAATCAATTGCAAACATTTTTTAAAGCATTAAGTGAGAGCAGCAAAAATTAGAAAAAGTTTGCTTTGCCGGCGTCCAGTTTAAAATACCAGTATTTGATATAATTGCGTTTGATTACGTTTAATTTTATTTTAATAACTTCGACGTGGTTTGTAATTAGAAGTTAAGGACTAGTCTTTTGAGCACACAGTATAAATCGGATTCTATCCTACTTTTTAAAAATGTTTCATTTTTTGGCTCTCGTGAAGCTCGTTTTTGGTTGCCCGAACTAAAACTTCAATTTTTTGATGTTCGACCATTCGGCTGTTTGCACGATACTTTTAGAAAACTCTAAATTCTTGCTTAGATGACAAAGAGTTAATTTAATGAAAGAATTACTCTCGTTTGTCTGTGTCCTGGTGTGAGATTTTTACAACAATTAGAGATCAATTCCAAACTGGGCACCTAATTTTGTTCCAATTAAAATTTCTTTTCACAGAGCTTAGCTAATTTTCCGGCCATAGTCATTTTTGGAACTCTTGGTGATTTTTTATCACAACTCTAAGAAACGGATAACAGATGATTTTTTGAATATTTATTTTGATAAAAATATGAGAAAGCTGCATCATCAATAGAGTATACAAATATACCAATCATGTCCATACAAAATTATTTAAAGCGGAAAAATTTGGAACCGAATATTAGCTTTTTGGTTATTTCTATCCTCTCTTATCTATCAAATCAACTTCATTTTGAATCTCTTTAAAAATATCCCCCTTTTTCAAAAAGTGGGAGATTCGTTACTAGGTATAAAATTCTCATATACTTAACCATTGATTTATTTTCTTATAGAGTGTACACTCGTTACTAGATACACGAGGGGAGATTTTGTTAAAGAGATCAAAAAATTTTTTGAGCCTTGTAAAAACGATAAAATTAGCACTGTAAAATGCGACATCGCCAACAGAAGGTGGTATTAGAAGACCGAATCTACCCACAAGTTCTTGATAGTTTTGATAGAATTTTTTAAGGTAGTTAAATTTTATCAAAACTTCCTGACCCAAATCAATCGAATTACCCGATCTGAAATGTTTCAGCATAACCCCATGGGATATTTGGGCGGATAATCAACAAACCGCCAAATCTTGAAGCCGAAATTGCATCAATGACACTTTGTTGTTTTGTTTTGTTGAATAACAATATTCATTTTTGGCTGGTTGAAATGGTAATCCAATTTTCGCTTAGTTGGCTTTTCGGTTTGTTGGCCTTTGGCTTGTTTGCCTACCACCGCAATTTTGCACACTACAGTGATTACCGAACCTTGAGTTGACGCCTTTCAGTTTGGAGGATTTTCGAGTAAACTTATTTAAGCCATTATTTACAATACGAGTTATCCGTTATAACCAACCGTGATAACCATTCTGGGAGTTATAACCAAAAAAATTTAAAAAGTTTAAAAATTTAGTGTTTGATGAGATCTGGAGTGGAGCATCCTTGGAAATAGTGGTTAGGCGATAGACTCCTTCATTGCTCCGGCTGCGTCCAGTTGTGCCAGATAGCTTCTAGGAATGGCCATGCTCTGATTGGATCCAACCGGCACTTTCATTGAATATCCTTCAACATCATCTTACTGTTACATAATCGTTATATCATCGTGCATCATTTATTATATAATCATTGTCAATCATTACATAATCATAGACATCAAATAAGGTAGCCATGCTATGATCAGATCGAACCGGCACTTTCATTGAACATCGTTCAACATCATCTAGCTGCTACATAGTCGCATTGTCATCATCGTATATCATGATACAATTATCGTCGATCATTATATAATCATAGACATAATATTATAGAATCGTTAGGTTGATGGAATGGAAAGGATCTAGGATTTTTCTTATGCGAAAACAGTTGCTGAAAATTGGTCACAAATTGTTGCAAATATTGCAACCAAATAGATATAAAAGGCTCTTTTATTTTAGGCTGCTTAAAACCCTCTCCTTCGCCAAAAGTCTAAGTTACGCGATTAAGATTGAATAATTAGCATGCTCTCCGCCCTTTTTCTAAGCTTTAGCGTCGGGCAGAACGGATGTCGCAAAAGGTATTGAAAAGGGGTGATCATTTGGTTGTAAAAGGGTATTAATCCATGGATCCATGGGTGGGGTAGGCGGTCCCGGTTTTCCCACCATAGAAGATGATGCACAACCATATACATCCATATATGGTTCGTATGGAAAATTTAGAATCATACCGCGCGCATAAACTTTTTTTGAAAGTTCTGAAAATAGCTTTTTCAGTGCTAGAATTATCATGCTTACAGATCCCAACTACAACAGAAGCGAGCCCTCCATACCTAACTAGGAGCTTCATGCGAGGTGCAGCTGGCGTCAAACACTGCCGACATAGAAACACGCTTCAACGTTGTCTCTCATGCGCAGCTATTCAAAACGCTTAATAACAGTTGGGCCCAAGATCTCTGGATTGGACAGAGTGGACTCGCTAAACTAACTAACAACAGAAGCGGCTGAAAAACTTTTGAAAAGTTATCACCATAAGTCTGATTTCTGTCTTCGCAAAAATATCAACGGCCCATTTGAACCCCCCCCCCCCCCATTTAGCAAGACCAAGTGAACGATATCGGCAGTAAAATTAAATGACAAATTCAAGCAGTAGAGCCTGCATGCACTATGCTCAAATATGATTGGCTGAAAAAGTTTACTTTCAAGCAAGTAAACTATCTTCCCCTATTTAGCTATGGCAAAAAATGAACTCTTGCCTGTTAGTGTGTTGTTGTTTGACTCGTTCATCTGATGGTGTTGCTGCGATCTTTGTGTACTGTACTGCTGATGTTCGGAAAACTTGACCCCTGTTGCTAGGTCCTCTAGGGTCCTAATCTTCTTCACACAGATCACTAACACCCCTGTAGACATGACACATGTACAAGGCAACAAAATTATTTCGATGAATGAAGAATAACTAACGCCAATATTTACTAACAAAGGCGCCAATACTTTTGAAAAACGGGGGACGGAACGCCGAACAAACATGGTCACATCCTTCAAAAAAGCGCCCAAAAACGGCATTATAGCGCGGTTTTTTTTTTAAACTGATTTGTTTTTTGACAAATAATTAAAATTTTTGGCAAATAGGGCCTCGGTTTTGAAAGAGCACGGAAAATTTTTTTTACTTGACCTATGAAAAGTTAACAACAAATTTGGATGCAAATTTTGAAAAAAAAAATAAAAACCTTTTATTAAATCTTACAGTTGGACTACTCATAGGAAAAAGGAGATAATATTATACCAATGAGGTAGCAGAGGGCGATGGAGAGACAGCCGACGACCAGAGACAGAGTGACTTCCAATATTGTCATCTCCTTAATGTCCACCTCAGACTGCAAGGCCTCTGAAAAGAACAACCCGGGTCAAAGTCTGCGCTTCATGATCCGACCGCGCGGGCGGGTCGAAAATATGTCAAAATTCGACCGAAAATCCATAGTCGAGAAGGCCCTATAGTCGAACTCATAGTCGAAACTCAAGTCGAGTCGAATTATAATCGAAACATAGACAGCTTGGGTTGAGTCGGTCGAAACAATCAAGCCTGGTGTTATCCATACGGATATATTAGATACCGATTAGAACTGTTATCCATACGGATATACTAGAACTCCGTCTACCTAAAACAATACATAGATTGTTCTCATCCTAAATGCTAACCATATATACTTATGTAACATTATGTAAACTTAACCATATAGAAGTCTGATCTAAATTAAGTACCTATTAAACCTAACACCATATTCAATAGTTATTTATGAGTCTCTGTCTCTCTCATGATTTCGAGGTCAGATTCGAATCAGACTTAACTTTATCAACTGAATTTAAGTTGCTCTCTAACTCTTCGTATTTCTATTCTCAGTTAGCGATTAAGCATAGACTTTGACTACATAGATTACATAGCTTATACCTCACCTAACGGCTGAGGGTATAACATGGCGCAGCCAGCACTCACAACAAAAAACCCACTAGGTATCGCCCCATTCTGGCAAAAAGCCTCGGCGGAACCTCCAACGGAGTGGGAGAAATGGAATCAGCAACTCTACTTAGGGATTGTCGCAAAAGATGGCATAAACCTACAAAAGCTATTACTAGACCCACCCGCAGTGAGAAAACCGCAAGAACCCGGTTATGAACTTCCTATAGAAGGGGAAACTCAATCACAAACCAGGGACAGAAACATTCGTAACCAAGAGAAAAAGATACAATGGGATAACCAATGTGCCCAATTGGACAACCTGGGACCCACCGTGGATGGAATAACATGGGAGGAAGCCGACATAAAAGTCAGGAGCTATATTTATCTCAGCCTTGGAAACGAAGGACAAAGACGTCTGAACCAACATTACCCAGACCTAAAAATACAAGAAATATCAACGAGAGCATTCTGGAATAGATTAGAGCACCTCTTCATTAAAGACCGTAATGTTACATTTGACAGATACGAGGCATTCACAAGGAAGCAGAACAAAACAGAAACGCTGGAACAGGTCCACTGTGGTCTCACGGAATTGGTCATTAAGGGAAACTTCAAATGTCCTAATTGCAACAATAACACGTTAGAAACGGAAATTATCCGAGACTTATTCACAGCAAATATGACAAATGATGAAGTACAAAAAGACCTACTAGCCGAGACCAAAACCCCGGAGCAAGCGTTTGAATACGCAATACGCAGGGAAAAAGGGTTGGAAAATCAAATTCAAATACGCAAGCAGGGATCATCGACAAATCCTTCTCAACAAACGGGCATAAAGACTGAACCAGTTGGGTTCATTCAAAGAAGAGGAGGGGACCCTTACCGTAACAATAGAAGGGGAAACAATAGAGGTCGAGGACAACCACAGCGGGGAAGCTCGCAACGACAAGAGAGAGACAGAAAACAATCCTGTTTTAAGTGCGGTAATCCGTTCGGACCCGGTCACCTCCAACAATGTCCGGCAAAAGACAAAATATGTAATAAATGCACAAAAAAAGGACACTACGCAAGACTCTGTAATTCCTCAAACGTTAATGCATCAGTGAAGAAACAAATCCCGAAGTAAACATCCAGGACACAGACATAGCGGCGTATGTTGACTATCTCTAGGCAGGGGATGTCGTTCCGGGATGGGAACTCATACACCCAGAGGACAACAGCGTAAATGCTGTACACTTCGAAGAAGAAACGGCAGGAAAACTAACAACGAACGATTTAATAGGACATCTCATTCGAGTTAAAATTGGTAATAACAGTATTACTTTCATTGTAGATACAGGATCTCCAACGTCATTTGTAAATAATAAAACAGCGGTCATATTAGAGAATACAGTGTCAAGGGCCAGACGTATTCAACTCAACCAAAACGACGAGGCCAACAGAATGGTCTGCTACAATGGTTATAAAATCCCGGCGTTCGGCAGGCTGATTGCCCCTATAGAATCAGGAGGGTGGACAATAAACACGGCGCCATTTGTGGTGGTTGACAATAAACGGGCAAACATCCTGGGTAGAAATTTACTACCACAACTGGGCATTCACCTTCAACAAGAAAAACCAACTGGTAAGTCAATCAATTACATAACAGAATCAGAACAATCGGACACGGTCATCACAAATTGGGTTAAATCAGCATACCCGGGGTTGTGCACACGTATCGGACGCTCAAAAAACCACGAAGTTCATACAAAATTCTTACATGACTTCAAGGCGCTGCAACAAAAAGGACGCAGAATTCCGATTCACATTCAGGAAAAAGTTGAACAAGAACTCAAATCCTTGATTGACCAAGGCCATATCGTGAAACTCGATAGCTGTAGCGACAAACAATTTATTAGTCCAATCGTAATAACGGTAAAGAAAGATCATTCAATAAAACTAGCAATGGACTCAAAACAGATTAACAAAGCGATACATAAAAACAAGTACCAGATGCCTAACATCGACGTACTTCTCGATAATGTGGCCCAATCGGCTCAAGAGGGCAATGGTAAACCAGGTACAACGTATTTTTTTACCATTGACCTTCGATATGCCTACAGTCAATTGAAATTGGATGAAAAAACTAAAACGCAGTGTAACTTTAGTATAATTGGCGGGCAAGCGACGGGAACTTATCAGTTCCAAACAGGATTTTACGGGCTCACGGATATGCCCGCAGAATTCCAGAAAGCCATTGATCTAACGTTAAACAACGAAAAGGATACTTTCGCGTTTCTAGATGATATATTAATTATATCCCACGGAACGAAAGAGCAACACATCGACAAACTGAAAAAGGTCTTAGACAAATTGGATCAAGAAAATATGGCGATTTCCCTAAATACATGCAAATTCGGCTGTAAAAAAGTCGAATGGCTGGGGTTCATCATAAATGAATACGGAACAATACCAATGCATAAGAAAACTGATGCGATCTCAAAACTACAACACCCTAAAACTTTCAAACAACTCAAAAGTTTTATGGGTTCAGTCCATCACCTGAATAAATTTATACCAAACTTGGCACAACTGTGTACACCATAGAGGCCACTCTTATATTCTTCTTCTAAATTTCACTACGTTTGGGAACAAAAACATGAAGAGGCATTTCAGACCATCCTGACAGCGGTGCGAAATATCACAGAAAATCGACACTTCGTGAGTAACCGGGAGACCCGAATAGTGTGCGACGCAAGTCGCTAGGGTATCGGAGCTGCCCTCGAACAAGAAACTCCAGACGGATGGGCTACGGTGGCATACGCGTCCAGATTCCTAAACGCATGTGAAAATAAATATTCAGTAAATGAATTGGAACTCCTAGCTGCAGTATGGGCTATTGACCATTTTAAATATTATTTGTATGGCCGCCACTTTACACTAATTACTGACCAGCAAACTTTGGTTAGTGCCCTAAATAGCAATAAAAGTAATAAAACATATCAAAGTCGCCTAACTAGATGGATTGACCGTCTCATCCCATTTGATTTTGACATCAAACATCTTTCCGGCAGCAAAATGGGCTTAATAGACTATATTTTGCGCCATCCGGTAGGAAAACCACAACCTCCCGCATATTGGGATGAACATTTCGTAGTCGCACTCATTGATGATTTCATTTCTTGCCTTGAATTTCAAGACAGCACCATAGCTAATATTGGAATGATCGAAAATCCAAACGGATTTCAACGCCCGGAACGAAAACTCTACTCGTTCAAATTCGCACACAAAAGCAACATTTTTCACTGTTAATGATCAATCTCTAGCAAACAGTCACTCTCCGTCAGATTCAAAAATTTCAAATCACTCTCCGTCAAATCCAAATATTTCAAATTACTCTCCGTTGAATTCGAACATTTGCAACCAGACCGCAATAGAAAAATTACATAAAGAAGGAAAATCATTTAATCGTCAACATCAACAAGCTTATCTTAACTCACAATCTACCGCTCCAGTGGCCAACAAAATGAACCGCCAATTACAGACAGGAATGTCACTACCCCCTTTTAAGAGAATAATGAGAAAATGTCACAGCGGCCAACAAACTACTGTAACGATTCCACCCACTAAGTTTGCATCGTTCAATGAAATGTCAGAAGAACCGAGCCAATCAACTCTCTCGTTTAGCGACGTCAGACACCAGGTAATTCCATCGAGAGATAGTTTCACGTTCAACAAAAAGTCCGATCAATTATGTCAGACAGACCCACCAGATCAACAAACAGAGTGCCAAGCCATCTCTATGGAGGAGGAAGATGTACCGCTCTTCCGAAAGAATCTACGTAAAGCACTAGACGTGGAGTTTATCGCGGCCGCCACGAAACGCGACAGAAAACTCCAGCCTCTGATCAACATGATCCGACACCAGAAGTGGGAGCAGATAAAAGCCTGTTATGGACCCTACTTTTATAACGTGCGCGACCATTTGTTGGTCCGAAACAATGTTCTACTCTATGATGACAGAGTAGTAATACCGAAACAGCTGAGACAAATCATCTTAGATTCAATCCATCTAACTCACCCAGGACAAGGCAGTATGCTAGAGGCTGCCAAGCATATTTGGTACCCATACCTCCATCGAGACAAAGTAACGGCAGCTCAGAATTGCAAGGAATGCCGTACTAAAGGTAAGAATCTTCGGGTACTATCCGGTAAAAAACACTACACTAGCCTTGACGCTGTAGTAGAACCGAACGAGGAAATCCAATTGGATTTCGCTGGACCGCTACCGGATGAAAACAACAAAGACGTGTACATTCTAGTTGGGGTAGATAGATTCTCGCAATTCCCATACGCAAAAGTAGTAGCGAATAACAAGGCAGATACAATCATAAAATTTATGCAAACACATATTGTCAACCATGGGGTACCAAGGAATATCAGGTGTGATCAAGCTCAAGGGTTTCGGGCTAAAAAATTTATGATCTATTGCAAAAGCAAAAACATTAAGCTAATATTTGCTCCAGTGGACGACCATCGCTCAATGGGCATGGTAGAAAGACTAATTAGAACTTTAAAAACTTGTCTCTCCATTATGAAAATCGATAAAAATAACACACCGTACAAACTAGCGTCAGATGTGGCGGAACTAATCAAAACACTACGCATTACCCCACACGCCACAACAAAAATTACACCGTTTGAAGCGCACTACGGGCGTAAACCAAACACACCATTAACTAATATTTGCACTACACCTAAAATCTCTAATCTCTCATGGGAAAATACAAAACTTTCGTGCCTAGATGAAAAGATACTCACAAAATCTGCCCTCACGCCCGAGGCCATTTGGAATAGAGACAACAATAGCGAGGACAAACTCAGCGTGGTGTACAAGAAAACCTATCTCCCCGAACCATCCTGTGAACCAGCGGGACCATCTTCACAAGCGGTTCGAAGTAAAACTCCAGGACAAGCAAAACATAGCCAGAGCGACATAGTGCAAAAGAAGCAAATCTCACTGTCGGACACAGACGAGGATGAACTGTTCGACCAAGCCCTGCTGCGAAAATTCCTAATAGGTGCGCACCTTCCACTTAATAATATACCCTATGACTTACAAAAAGTTAAACGGTCCTTTCTCGCCGAAAACGCACAACATGATATAGCAAATATTAGAACACGAAAACCAATTCGTTGGCTTACACAACAAGAAAAACAAAGAATAGAAAGAGCCCCCTTGGTGTTTCTAAAAGATCGATTTAAAGGACCCAAGAACACCATAGACCCGGGGTTAGGAAAACGTATCGAACAAGTGGCACGAAAATTGGGCACCATAGCACGTAAAATAAAAAATCCTGGGGTATTCGGGGCACAATTCAAGGTAATCGAAAACGGTTCAATAATTAAATACTCCCCGCACACTGCATGGGTCCGGGAAGACGGAAAACAACCAAGGGTAATAAAACACGACGGTCTAGCGTTTGTATCAGATCCACGGGTGTACGGTAAATGTAGATCGGCACAGCTAAAGGACTTCGTAGCATACAAACATTTACCAAGAGCAAAATCCGGTTTTTTAGACAAAGAGGCTAAGCAAAGTGAACCAACTGGCTCAAAGATCCCAAAGAAAAAATCAGTGGAACCAGGGAATCCGGCGGGTAACACCTCAACACCAACGAGCCCAAAACAAAAACCGCCCAAGAATGTCGAGGAACTTATTCGACAAACAACTAACAGAAGGAAGCTAGGACACGACCGGATTCATAGAACAATCCCAACAACATCAAAAGCCCCGACGGTAAAAAACCAACCAACTACTACGAAAAATCTCAAGTCGCCAAGCCGAAAAGGAAAAGGCAGCCCCAATAAAGTACGCAAGGAAAACAAGGACATAGAACTTGACTGTGACACATCAATTTCTATTTCATCGGACGACTCAATAATTCAAGACATGAGACAATCACCAAAAATGCCCCCAGCCGAAAAGCTGGACCGATAAACTACGCCGCCACAAGATACGAACAACAGTACCAAACCACAAGCAGCAATTCCAAGCCGTAGATCCACAAGGACCAAAACAAGCGCCCTTGCCCTCAAATTCGGAAATGCAATTCCGATTAACAAAATCACCGGAAGCACTTCAGATAACGAAGTATGTCTCATAACAGTACAACAGGATAAAAGGGAACCAACTGGCCAAGCAGGCACTATCCAAGAGTCCTCAACCGATATAGAATGTATCGAAATTGACTCAACTGACAAAACACCGTGCCAATCAACTGATAAAACACCAGAGCAGCTAAGGGTAAGAGAAACCAGTGGAGGAACAGGCGGCCCAATTGAAGATGTATCCGAGCCCAGAGATACACTACACACACCAACAAAAATATCCACACACACGTCGTCACCACAGAGTAGCCCGAGAACAAAATTCGCGTCAGATTTTAATACGTCAGCTACGTCAGCTCAACGCAGTGCTCCAAATAGTCCCCTACAACGAGCAATTAGCTCCCGTTACGTCATCGACAGACCAACCGGAACGTCATGCTCACCAGACAAATCCTTCATTGACAGCTTTAACGACGCAATGAAAATTCTTAAATCCATCTCTCCACCCAAAAACTCGATGACTTTCCAAAGGGAATATGAAGTACAAGAACGCTCTAAACGTCTCAGTAAACAAGCGAAAGATGAGAAAAACAACGAACCGATCACCAAACAGATACCGCAGACATCATCGGAAATGAACGCCCAACAGATATCGCAGACACAGAGGATATATGATGTGTTCATCATATATAAGAAACAGGGGGAATGTTATCCATACGGATATATTAGATACCGATTAGAACTGTTATCCATACGGATATACTAGAACTCCGTCTACCTAAAACAATACATAGATTGTTCTCATCCTAAATGCTAACCATATATACTTATGTAACATTATGTAAACTTAACCATATAGAAGTCTGATCTAAATTAAGTACCTATTAAAACTAACACCATATTCAATAGTTATTTATGAGTCTCTGTCTCTCTCATGATTTCGAGGTCAGATTCGAATCAGACTTAACTTTATCAACTGAATTTAAGTTGCTCTCTAACTCTTCGTATTTCTATTCTCAGTTAGCGATTAAGCATAGACTTTGACTACATAGATTACATAGCTTATACCTCACCTAACGGCTGAGGGAATAACACCTGGATCGAGATGGTCGAAACATACCATTTTTACATATCAGTCGATCAAAACATAAATCGCAAATACTTATTAAGATTCTCAGATGGGTCTAAAATTGGCGCTATTTGGAATTAAACTCAAACTTTTTTTAAATAAACCATTTCCAAGCCATAAAATTTTCTAAATTATGGCTAATCTAAGCCAAATCACTCGACCTGATGCAGAAGGTTTGCATTCAAAGACTCATTTCAATGTTTGACAATCTTTTTGAAATAATATGAAGTTCAATTGCACTTTGCACTTTTTCGATGATCAATGTCTCGCTAAATTGAGTTTTTCGTGCCGAAATTCAATGAATTTGTACGGAAAGCGAGCGCCAAATAAAACGCCTTTCTGGTCAAAAACTTCCAGAACCTGCCCCCCAAAAATCAATTTTTGAAAAATTTGCCTGTGGCGCAGAACTTTTGGACAAAATAGGGTCCTCATAGTGATTTGGGCCATCTCGGAAAACTGTTTGATCAACCTACAAAAAGTGAGACACACCGTTTTCACAAACTCCCGGGTCCAAAAAAAACTAGACCCGCGATTGTTCTCGCTTATGAAATGTTTTTTTTTTCTGATCAAATACACATTGTTTTTATCTCAAATTTTTTTGATGTTAGGTTCAGCGTCGTGAGGGCGAATACCTGTGGCTGATCCTAGGCAGAGTTGCTATAGCTTCAGTTAAGCCAATTGTTTTTCTGTAAATAGTTTGATGCCAAATTTGTTACGAGGCTTATGTTTCTGCTGGAATTCGAGATAATATTTCGATCGACTGGACTAAAAATGGGTATGTTTCGACGGACTCGCTTGAGGCTCGAACTGGCTGTTTCGACCGACTTAATTTTTAAAGACCCTATTTGTAATAATGACTTTATTCTTATTGTATAATTATGTTGTCGTCTACTGACCCGCACTGTTAGACAAGGACGCTTCGAAGTCGAACACACGACTGATGGGGGGATGACTGCATCCTGCTTCATTACAGGCCCTCACGAACAAGTGGTAGAAGTTGCCGGCCTGCAGACGGGGCACCAGGGCAAAACTAGTGGTGTAATTGTGCTCCAGTTTAGTCATCAAGGCCACCTAAACAAACACACTATTTTGACAAGAATTGAAATGCTAAAAAATATTGATTAGAAATTGTTTACTTTTTGTTGACAAGAATTAAACTGCTGATAATATTTAGACACAATTGGTAGCGGATTTAAGAGTGGAAAGGGGGCAGGGGCCTATTGCCACCTCCTCTTATGGGTTCGACCCTCCGACCCAAAGGATCCCGACCCCCCTTTGCACTATTTTGAGACATCCACTTTTAGCTGGCTGACTATAAAACCTTTCTAAGACCGCCATTGGCGCCAATATATGCTAACTAAAAGATGGAGGAGGAAGCTTGATCAGTATAGGGCCTTTATAGTGATTTAAGAGAGCTCAGAAAATTGATTTAGGTGACCTGACAAAAAGTTCGCCAAAAAATACTAAATTTTTTTAAACCACCCCTTTGAGAAAACCCTAGATCCGCCCCTGGATACAATTTATAAGTCAGCTTTTAAATTTGGGGGCTTGAAAACTGTTTTTTGGCCAATTAGTTTTCACTAGAGTTTCATGGAAAAAAATAGATTGTAATGGATTATGTCGGCAAAAAAATTAGCCTATTTAAACAGTTTTCATGACCCACCTAACCATAAAAAGATTTTAGAGAATTTTAGTCGATTATTTTCAATATTCAAAAATCCAAAATAAGCCATTATAATCGATTACAATCCATTAGAATCTAGAATAAAATCAAGTTTTTGTTGATAAAATACATGAACATTGATTGTTTTTTTTGCAAAAACGAAATGTTTGCTCTGCTTTATGCAAAACTCGAATCCCAACGAACATGTTCATCCTCGAGTACCTTTTTACCCAATTCTCACACCTTCACAACCCCACCATACTCCAATTGAACCCCCGCCCCTCACTATGCCTCATTCCTCACAAGCTCCCCTCCCCCACACACACACACACCATAATACTCCCCAACCACCAAACATCATTACAGACCCCCCGCACACCGCTCCAAACCCAACCCCCGCACCCCTAAAATTTCACCCCCTCGCAGTTGGGAAGTGGTTAACGTGAGGGGAGGGGTATACTGGGGAAGGGGGGTTAAAAACTTGGGGAGGGGGATGAGCAACAACTAGGGAGATCAAACTAATATCAAACGGGGTTGGGGGGGGGGGGGGGGGCTTAAAAGGGGGCATAACATGGGATGGGGGACAATGAGGGAATGCAGGACGTGATTTCGAAAAACTTCAAAAAAATCAGCAGAAACTAGAAAAACTAAAACTTGAACAAGACTGCTCATAAAAATATTTTAAAATTTGAGATAAAGTGATGAATTTTTATATTAGTAACAAATCAATCCTGGTAAATAAGCGTCCTTTAACTAATTTGGAGCAATTTCTAATACGGATTAAATCTCCGCTTACACGGTAAAAACGCGAAAAGTATTGCGCGTTAATTGTCCCAAATTGCCCAAAATGGCAATCTTTATAACCCCATAACTTTACAAAAAATGAGCACAGGTGAAATTTATTTTGAATTTAAGCTCAGGAAAACAATACTTACTGAAAGGTTTAAAGCATTTCCGTCAAAAATGGCTAGTTATAAAGTGAAAATTTGTCTGAAGAAAAAAAACCTCCGAGCACGAATATTCCGTTAATTTCTTCACAAAAGTTGGAACAAAATTGAAAGTGTTGAAGTGTAACAGGGCAAAAGTAACATACTACTGAACGCAACTTTGTTCCTGTTGTCAAAAATGAAACCTGATAATGAAATATACATTAAATTGCCTGTTTAAACAAGACTGCTCGTATCAGGGCGAAGCCCTGAATGTTCCGACTGCCCTCTAAGGTTTATGGAGCAGTAATAATATTAAAAAATAAAATGAAAAAAATTTTTTTTTCTAAAGTTGATTTTTTTTTAAAAAAATCATCCCCCCACACGCCATATAAAACACAAAAGGATAGATTTCGCACCTTGTAACAAATCATTTATGGCAAATACGCTTCTTTCAATCAATTTGGAACGATTTCTTAGGCGGATTAACTCTCCGTTTACGCGTTAATAGCGCGAAATATATCGCGCGTTAATTGTCCCAAATTGGCCAAAATGGCAATCTTTAAACCCTCATAAATTTACGAAAAATGATCACAGGTGAAATATCTTTTCAAATTTAAGCTCATGACAACAATATCTTTCGAGTGATATAATAAAATTCCGTCAAAAATGGCTAGTTAAAAAGTCGAAATTTGTCTGAAGAAAAAAAACCCATACCGAGCTTAAATACTCCGTTACTTTCGTATCGAAAGTCGGAACAATAAGGTCTAATTAAAGTTAATACATGAGATTATTGTCCCTATCTTCCATACACATTTGACTTCAGCTCGAATCTTTTGTAATAAAATTCGGCGAACAAATGGTAAACTTTTTTTAATATGGTCAAATGTTTTCATCGCTATTGCCTTTTTGCGTGAGACGTTATCAATTTCCAGCTTCGTTGAAGGCATACTGCAGATATGATACAAAGAATGTTGCAAATTTTTTTCCCAATATTTCTCCTTTTAATAGCTTCATAGGGTACATTTTAGGTATTCAGCAGACCAGCAGACAATTTTATGAATTGCATGCAGAAAAATAGTTAAAATTAAATACAAGCAATGAAACCACCTCCATATTTTTAATGTGAAAATTAAAATTGAGCAAACTGAATGTTCGTTTTTTGACTTTATACGACAGTTTTATGTGCACCTGATTTTGCGTGGAACCAAAACACACTGGAACTCAGAAACGCTTTTTTTGTGAATGGTCGGAGAAACAGAATATTTTCAAAATGAACTTTTTGGCGGTCGTCAAAGGCGTTTAGCATGTTCAGCTCGAGATAAAAAAAAAGAACGAAAACTTCGATAGAAAAGTTACCTCCGTGGACTCACGGGCGCCTTCTTCTCCATCACCACCACCAGTCTGCTGCCCTTTCTTGTCCTGGCCCTGCTGGAGTGTGACTGAAGTGAGGTACCACACCTGCGATAAAGTCGAGAAAATCCTAGATCCGCCCATGGTTAGAACATTATTAAGTGAGTGAGCCTTCTCTTTGTCGGAGGGAATGAACGTATCAAGGTCAAATAAAAATGACCGGTTAGAGTAATTTAAAATTAGGTTGATTGAATAAGGACAGTGAATGACAACAACCTGGTACCAAGTGTGCATGGGGTAGTAGTGCGACTTGGCTGGCACCCACGACAGGTTGACTGAGTTGTCGGGGATGAATTGGGCTGTGAGACTGTCTTCTAAGGAGGGCGGATCTATAACACAGAACAGTCACACCAATACTTAATGAATTCTTCATAACGATTCAGTCTAGGGGTCGATTTAGGGGGGGGGGGACCTCAATTTAGTTCAAAATAAAATCTTTAGAGTGATTTAGGAGAGCTCGGAAAATCGATTTGGTCGACCTGAAAAAAAGTCGACAAAATTTTCGAATTTTTTTTTGAAAATCTGCCCTGCCCTAAAGAAAACCTAGATCCATCCCTGATACAGTCTAATAGTAAACAGGTTACCAAGATGTGTAAAAAGAACATAAAAAAGACATTACTGGACAAGTTTAATTAATTTGTTTCTTTATTTTTCCTACATGAGATTTTCAAACAAGTGAGATCTTTTGAGTTTTCTTTTCTATTTAACAGCTAAGTTTCTTGTTAACCATAGAATAATTGCTTATCAGAAATATACTTTTCAACATATTTTATCACTATTTTATCGCCAAAGTCATATAATGTAAGTTTTATTGAGCAAAATTTTAAACTCACTGGGTTCCAGAATGCTAGCTGTGGCGTGTGATGAGCCGAAGGTGTTGGAGGCCGTGCACTTGTAGTCCCCCCTGTTCCCCTCTCCCACCCTCCCCACCCGCAACTCACTCTCAACCGTCCACTCATCCCTCATCTTCATCACCTTACTCGCTAAACACAACAGCTTATTAGTAACATAGTTTATTTTGAGTTTTTCAAAAGTTGGTTGAAACATTTTGATGGATGTTGTTTCAATAAAATAATTAAATTGACAAGGGCTAAGGGCATAACATAGCATGTAATTCTTGCAGTACGCATATAGTGGATTAGTAGGCAAAAAAAGACGCGAAAAAGAAACAATTGAGTCAACAGAGACGTCTCAAACTGTCAATTTGCACGATGAGCTTTCATAAGCCATCTATAGCTTATTGAAATTTAATTTATCAACCTCCGATGTTTGAATGCTAAACTCAAAAAAAAATCAGCTACTAACTAAGTCCATTTTCCAGTTCGTATTGCTTAGTGATCGACATATCTCCTCTGTACCAGAAGACTTCGGGTGTCGGCCGACCAATCACAGTGCAGGATATAGTTGCCGAGTCTCCACTCAGAGCGTAAGAGTTAGACGTGTTGCGGATGATAGGAGCATCTTAAAAAAAACGGAATATAGTGTATGTTTTTTTACTCTAAATCCACTTAGTAATAACCATCTTTTTAAAGCTCAGAAGATTGATCCTCAAATCAAACGATAATTTTGGATGGCCGCGGCTCTAAATTTCTGCTTCAATGAGATATTCAATGACAAATTGTCTTTGACCTATCATATAAAAATTTAGCAAAGTAACTTTTTTCTTCGTATCATGCTCTGTAAAACAATTCAGTCATCCTAGAAATCCAATCTGCCTATTTCTTCGCCTAGCAAACACATTGAATGCGCCCCGATCCTTCACCCACTGCGAGTTTCAGCAAACAGTAGAGTTGGGGTCCAGTCAAAACTATGTAAAACCTTTGCTTTGGATTATGCACATCAAACCACGCAATCTCAACCTGGGTAATCTTCAAATGTGGGTTAAACACTATTCTGTGGTACGTACAGTTGATGTTGAGTGTGATCTTCTGGCTCGTCTTCTCGGTAGGGAACTCCTCCGAGTGGCTGGAACACCACACCAGCTGTAGATGGTTCTCTGGCCTCAGCCCCACCCTCATCACACTCCAACTGTGCCAGTGGTATGACTCATCCCCACCCCTCTCACTGCCCTGCTGGCTGGGCTTCTGGGATACTCCATTCAGGTACCACCTTGATTATTAGAAAATACTTAAAAAATTTAACTATAAAATGATTAATTGGAAAAAATGGACTATAAATTTTCCAAGAGTGCCACCACGATCAACAGAAAGCCTTGATACGAAGTCATTGCCGATTTTTGAAAAATACTTTGAATAACGTTGCAAAACTTTTTTTTCTATGACGCCACTAATTTCAAAGTTTTGATTAGAGAACTGGATTTTATAATGGCTGTGGCATCCAGATATTTCACTACTTTCACTGATTTTTGCAGTGACTTATGTGCTATTGAAGCGTGTTTCACCAAACTACAGGCACCTGTTTTAAGTACATAATGACTGAAAGTACTAACTTGATGATTGCGGGTGGGTTAGACATTGTGACTTGGCAGTAGAACTCGGCCGAGTGGGGCAGAGTCACTGGCATCTGAGATGACTTCAGTTGCATTTCAGGCACTTGTGGGGCAAACAGCACCGTCACATTAGCACATGCAGACACCATCGCGAACCTAATAAAGACATAATAGCTGATAGGTTTGCAAAATCACTAAATGTTTCATTACTCTTAAAAATACTTTGAAGTTTTCGTAGAAAATACAGAAAAAATCTCGAATAATTTTTTCCATTTTTTTTGTAGAGATAACTTACTCCGCTCCCATTTGAGCCTAGACTGGAAAAATTCGGGCTCAAGCTTTTGAAACTCAACTCCCGTGTCGTCAGAATCGACACTAGCTTGCTCGTTGATTATAGGTTAAGGAATAACATAACGTCTTCATGACTTGAAGCATGGTCATTGGCCTTGCTTTAAAGGAATATCGATACTTCACATTGCAGTGATTCATTACTGGCTTTCGCTCAGACTACTTATGAGAGCACAGCGAACATCATAGTTCATCACTTTTGGTGATACTTCCAAGATTGAAGTAAATGTAAAGGATTACCGACACAGTATTACAGAGAAAATGGACTGTTTTTTGATGTGTTCATCAGTTAAACAAAGAGATGACAAAACTGCATGCTATGCATCCAACCGCTAACAAAAACAAAACTATAGTTTACATTAGAAAAAAAATGCAATCAAAGTTGCTTTTCTTGGATCCCTGCTTAAAAAAATGCTGATAGAGCTGTGCAGACCGTTTTTCATTTCCTTTAAAGCTTGCACTTTGACTCTTTTAGCACTTTCACCAAAATTGAAGGTGTGGATCAAGAATTTGAATCATTTTCACGGAGCTGCCTACTCTTATCTCTTTCTTTTTTATGAAACCTCTTGCCCGAGTTTGCATTGGCAAACTTTCCTCCAGTAACATATTCGTTCAACTGAGACACCCTTCAAGATGTTACGTTTGGCGTATGGATTATTTAACCAGATATCCAGATCCATTTTTTTCAGAAAAGTATCATCGAAAAATATAGACTTGAGGTTCTGAAACAGACTGAATTTTCTCTCTAAGAACATCAGTATTGCCTTAGCTTTTGATAACAATACTTGGAATTTTCCAACAGATTTTTTTTTCAGGTTGATTTAATTCAAAAACTAGAACAAGGTTATCAGCGTAAGCACAAGATCATTTCTCTCCTTTCGTTGAGTGTTATTAAAAGGAAGTTAAGCGGGATGATAAGACGGGGGGACATAATATGCAGCTATGCCTCACCACTCAGACTCAAAAATACGTATCGAAAATATCGTAATGCTCGTGTAGTTTAAAATTATATATGTATATATACAGGGGCGGATTTAGGGGGGGGGGGGGGCGGGGAGGGGGGCGGACGCCTCTTCCCCCCCCCCCCCCCCCCTCAGGGATTCGACCCCCTGCCGACCCAAAGGGTCCCCCCTTTGATACTTTTTCAGAAATCCATTTTTGGCCGACCGACCCTAAAATTTTTCTAAAGGCGCCTTTGGCGCCAATATCTACTAACTTTGAGGAGGGAGCGCGCGCCAAAATCTACTAACTTTGAGGAGGGA